TAGTCCGGAAAACCCATTTGTTCCCAACAATGTTCATGTCAGAAGAAGGAGGAACAAGAGACCAAGTGTTATTCTGGACAAGAGCATTGAACTCAAATTGCATGGCTGCTTTCCAAGCTGGACTTGCAAGTGCTTCAACTGCAGATTTCGGTTCAAGTTCAATGTCATCCTGACCACGGGTAAGATAAGCTGAATGCAGCAAAATGTTATCTTCATTTGGAACTGGACCAGTTAAACCATATGCATTAGATTTATTCTGCATAGCTGCTGTCAAGGCTGAACTTTCAAGAGCTAAACCATATGCACTAGAGTTATTCTGTACAGCTGCTGTCAAGGCTGAACTTTCAAGAGCTTTAACTGTTTTTCGAACAGTAGCACTAGACTTGGATCTTGTAATCATGAGGTGCAAATTGGAAGCATTTTGTGACTACATCAGATCAGCAGTTACTTGTGCTGATGATAAATCAGCTTCAAGATGGCAGGTGGGAGGAACACAATCTGATCTAATTACAGGTAACGAAGAAACTGATGGTAACGAGAAGGAGTCTAAAGAGCTACCACGGGATGATGTATGTAGTGGTTCTGGAGATTGTGAGATAACAGTCATGGGTGCATGTGTTAGTGGTAGTGTAAATGAGCTGATATGTTGGTTTGGAGGGTGTATATTTGAATTGTTGACTATATTAGAAGAAGCGATAGGAGTAGCAACTGTTGAATCATTAAGAACAGTCTTCTCTGTAGGCTTTGTTACTGTAGGAGGATCAGGAGAAACTGAAGAGGAGATAGGTAGGATGAAACAAGGTAAATGAGACGAGGAAGAGGTATTGAAACTATCCTGTTTATGAAGAGAAATCTGCTGGAGAGAAGAAATGTCGTAAGGATCAATACATTGTTTATTTTGAAATGGAAATTCTGTTTCATTAAAGGTGACACTAGGTGTAACAAAAATTTTCCCATCTTCTCTTAGACACTTGTACCCTTTATGAACTAAACTATATCCTATAAAGACACACTTGGAGGAATGAAAACTAAACTTATGACTGTTAAAGGGACGGAGGTAAGGAAAACACGTACAGCCAAACACTTTAAGACTCTCATAAATAGGCTGTTTGTGAAACAATTTGAAATAAGGAGTATCACTGTGTAAGACATCAGTGGGCATTCTATTAATCAAGAACGTAGCAGTTTCAAATGCCAACCACCAATAATGCAGGGGCATGGATGCATGTGCAAGCAATGTTAAACTAGTTTCTACAATATGCCTATGTTTACGTTTACTACGACCATTTTGTTGGTGAGTGTAAGCACATGAATGTCTAAATTGAATGCCTAAGTCATTTAGATAAGAAATAAGAGTTTTATACTCTCCTCCTTGATCAGACTGAAGACACTTTAGTTTAGTGTTAAATTGCCTTTCCGCAAGGTGATGAAATTTTATAAATATAGATATGACTTTAGCTTTTTTTTTTAAAGGAAAAACCCATGCAAATCTACTGAAATCATCTAAAAACTGAACATAATACCCGAAACCTTCGACAGATACTACAAGGGCAAGTCCCCAAACGTCACTATGAATTAAAGCAAGGGGTTCAAGAGCATGTGACTGGGAGGCAGGAAAAGTGTTCTGATGTAGTTTGCTTAATTGACATGCATCACAAAAGAAAGTTTCAGATTTTTGTAACTAGGAAACTTGCGGATGAGAACCTGAAAAATTGGTCATGATTTTTCGAAAAACAGCGAAGTTCGGATGTCCTAATCTTCTATGCCAAACCATATGAGTAGAAGGTTGTTTATTAATAGTAAGGCAGTGAAGACTGGGTTGAAGTTCAGAGTTAACATGACTCATCTCATGCAGATTATTATGTGAAACATTGGATGCACTTTGTGTAGGGAATTCCACATTTTCTGGCAAACTTAGGTTATTCTGAATATCATGAGACAGTTCAGACTTAGAATATAAAGATGCATCACTAACAGATTGTGTTTTAGGTTTATTCAAAGTAGATACACAAGTAGATTGAAGCTGATCAGAATTATGCATGTTAGAAGTAGACATATCAACAACAGATTTAAAATCAGAAACTAAACCAGATTGTGAATCACAAAAATGATCAATTTTATTATTACTAAAGACATTGCAAGTTTCTTTACATGATGTGGATGAACAATTATTAGTAGTTTGCATTTGAGACTAATTACAACTGAGAGTATCAGCAGCAGATACAGCCAACCTATTTTGAATACTAGGCCTATGGGACTGACTAAATAATGCGTCTCCTGAGGATTGGACAGAAAGAGCTGCTTTATTAGATGATGAACTATAGGTAGGTGACACGTGTGAAGCTTTAGAGGTTGAAACAGCAGAAGGAAACAGGGCAGGTGGAATATTCAGCTGGTATAGACCTCCCTTAATGCCCCCTTGCAGTAACATTGCCTGTGTGGATTTGTCCTTAACAATACAACAATTTGCATTAAACTCAACAATAACATTATTGTCTTTGATAAACCTAGAGATGCTAAGTAAATTTTTTGTAATATTTGGCACACAAAGTATATTTCTAAGATGTAAACATTTAGAATGTAGTGAACTAGGTAAGATAGAATGGCCTATATGAGAGATAGAAAGGTGCTCACCACTGCCTATTTGAAGTTGAGCATCACCTGCATAAGCCTTGCTGATTTGTAGCTGTCCCAGATCAGAAGTAACATAATCAGTAGCTCCAGAGTCCATATACCACGCTGGATCAGTGGAAGAGAAGGCTGTAGCACTATCAACCACATGAGAAGGCGGACAGTAATGATTCCCAGATTGTCCACAATTTCCACCAACATCAGTATGAAATCCAGCCCCTGGTCTTGTAGAAACAAAATGGGCTTGACTATAGCCAGAGTTCTGCTGACTAGGTACTCCAAAATAGCCAACACCTGAAGCAGGAGCAAATGTATTGCTTAACTGTCCAATGGTGGAAGAAGGATTGAAATGTGCTGCACCACTGTTTGGGACTGATGACGAGTGGTCATTATGCAGTTGATTAGCAGCAGAAAAAACATTGTTTTGAGCATGCTGAGGATGCTGAGCATGCTGAGAATAAATGGAGCTTTGATAATGCTGAGATGCCACATTTTGGTAGCCTGGATGAGTAAAACCAGAGTACTGCTGTTGAGGCACATGAACAGAGTGTTGCTGCTGTGAGCTACCACTGTAAGCTGCATTAAATAGATGGTAACACTGAATAGCAGAGTGTCCAGCCTTATTACAGACTTGACAAATGAGTTTGTTTCTTCCATTACCACGGCCTCTGCCTCTTCCATAAACAGGAGGTCTAGTCCATTTTTGAGTAAGTCCATTACAAACAAAAGACATAAAATTTTGAGGCTGAGAGGATGTAAAGACTGGTGGAGTGATATAAGTCTGTGGATGAGGATTTTCCAGAGACATTAGGGATGGTACAACATTCTCAACGTTTGTAGTTGTGTTATAACTAGTCTGCTCTTTTGTTCCAGAAATGCCAAGTACATTAGGATGACTAGCTAAGGCTACATTAATAGATCTATTGTAGAGATCAACTGAGTTAAATTTTTCTAATCTCAGCTCATATTTCTGAAGTAAAAATTGTGCCTCTTGAAGTGTAACATTATCAACTTTGGACTCTAATCTGGAAGTGAGAGTCATAACAGCAGCATCATACTCAGGTCCTAACCCATCTAATACGTATTGAAGCAAGTCCTCATCAGATACAATCATTCCACTTGCTGCTAAACTTTCAGAAATCTCTTTCATCTTTTTAACGTAATCACTAATACTGAGATTACACTTTTGAGTAGTTTGAAGTAAATTTCTAAGATGAAGAGCACGAGCCTTGGAATCTGTTACAAATTCGTTTTCTAAGGCTAACCAAATTTCAGTAGCTAATCTACATTTTGAAACAACACAGAACATGCTTTCCGAAATTGATGCAAGTAGCCAGCTAACTAAACATTTATCAACTCTTTTCCACAAAACATAAGCCGGATTAAGTTGTTCACTAACCTCATATTCATCGATTAGAACTGGTGAGGGACAACGAGCTCTACCTAAGAGGTGGTCTTCCAATTCATGAGAGCCGACAGCAGATAACACTTGGGAGCTCCAAAATCGGTAATTATTTCATGTCAGCTTAGGGTTTATAACTTGCAAACTCGAATTGAGAGCTAAAGTCGATCGATTTGAAGAATCTTGCAACACTTCTCGATTGCTGTTAAGCATGTGAGAAGCAGAGGAATCCTTAGCCATTGACGCGAGTCTTGGCTCTGATACCATGTGAACTTATACAGAGAAAAGCTTAAACGAGTTAAAGAAAGTCTGAAATGAGTTTAAGAGAGAGAACGAAACTGTCTTTGTTACTAAAATTTTTCTCGTTACAGATTAAGAGGAGCAACAAACAACTGTTCCTTTTTATATAGCACTTATACAAAGTAAAGAGTAAAGTAAGTGAGCTGAAACTTTCTACTTAAAACGACACCACTTTGGCCTATTATCAAAATCATTCAAAGACTTAACAACTTGGCACTTTCATCCTCTTATATCAACAGACATTGCCTATAATTGCTTAGTTATATGTGCAACCGCTGATGCATGGTATTTATATTTCATGATAATTTCAGGTACCTGAAGATCCACATGTGATTGACTTTATCACAGCGCAATGCAGGATATCAATGGATGGTTACTACAAGCAACATGGATGCTAATTTCTCATCACCAGTTAATAAAGTGCATTAGAATGGACGGTTATATTTAATCTCATATTGCACTGACCAGATTGATGATGAGGATGATGCCAAGTATTAGAGGAGAGCGCGGAAAAGAAGGAAGAAGCTTAATGATAGGCTTTATGCTCTTCGAGCTTTGGTTCCTAAAATTTCAAAAGTAATTCATTCTTCTTTTTAATTTCATCTTATATCTTCTAACAGTAAATTGTATTAGTGTTATAGAATGATTGGATGTTTGATGTTTTCAGATGGATAAAGCTTCAATCCTTGGTGACGCAATAGACTTTATAAAGGAGTTATTAAAGGAAATACAAGAGCTTCAAGATGAACTGGAGGAGCATTCAAATGATGAAGGGAGCCCCGAGAACGATACTGCAAGCATGAATGTTAACCACAACATTGTGAAGCCAAAGATTTTCAGTAACAGCTGCTTCAGGTAATGACAGTACTCTTCCTAAAGTGCAGAATCAAGACCTAGAAATCACTAATGACAAGACACAACAAATGGAGGTAACGTACTCTAAAATCTAAACATAATATCTCCTTCCTCTCTCTAATTAGAATTTCAATATGTCAATTTTATTGTACATTTGAAGGTGCAAGTTGAAGTGGCTCCATTAGATGGAAGCGAGTTCTTTGTTAAAGTGTTTTGCGAACATAAGCTAGGTGTATTTGTAAAATTGATGGAATTGGGTCTGGAAGTGACAAATGCAAATATAACCCATTTTAGGGTACTTGTTTCTAACGTGTTCAAAGTAAAGGTAAAATTATGAACATATTTGAGATAAAAAAACTAAACTACTCTTTAATATTAGTTGTTCTGATTATTATGAACTTCTTGGTGGCAGAAAAAAAGTAGCGAGATTGTTCAAGCTGATCATGTGAAGGATTCTTTGCTGGAGCAAACAAGAAACCCGTCTAGAGTATGGCCTCATGAGATGGCAAAAACTTCAGATTGCATCAATGGAGTGCGAGTATAATCCTCCTCCCCATCATCATCATCACCAGAAGCACCACCTTCACAATCACCATATGAGTTTCCACCACCTTGACAAATAAAAAAGATTATGGTAATGGTTAGAATAAGAGGGGCTACAGTGGAAAATGCTTCTGTTCGCGGGTTTATGTTTGGTGGTGGGGGCGGCCGTCATGGTGGTGGAGGGAATAGTTTCACTGATTTTATAACGGTTGTTGAGAATTTGGGATGAAGCCATTAGTAATGAGAGGTGGTGGAGAGAAGATGAAAAGTGAATGGAGGTGTAAATTTAAGGGTAAAATGAATGCTATGGAGTGAAAATATTTACAAGTTTCAAGTGGTTTAATAATTCAAATAATAAAATTTTAATTATCTATTTAAGAATGGATAACAAGTGTATCAAGTGAATTATATTTTGCGGGATAATAACTGGCAAAGCGGCCAGGCCCGGTCCATCCCACATAAAAATAAAACTTGCTTTGTGCGGTGCCGTATCATGTGCAAAGGAGCATCTTACATCTTCTTCTCCATGTTCTCTTCTTGGTTCTCAGAATCTCTCTAATCAGTTTAGTTTAGAATTTGATCCTTTTTAATTTTTTATTTTAAAAGGTAGTTAAAGGTCATGCAATATCCTTCTACCTCATATATTATATAAAAGAGTAAACGACATATTCCCACCTGAGGTTTGGCGAAATCCTAAGTTGATACCTCTGATTGTATTTATTCCAAATTCTCACCCTTAAAGTAACACTATTAACAATTTTTAGGTTATAGTGGATGAAATTACCATAATGCCCTTAACAAATAAATAAATAAATTTCGTTTTAACCCCTAAATTAGTACAATTATTAATTTACTATTTTATTTTCAAATTACTTCAATAACATCCTTGGCAACTGCACACCCTCTCGATTTTTGCCCAATCTGGATTGTTTTCGATGGCATTGAACCCCTTGGTCACCTCCATCACCTTCCCCATAGTCTACTGTCTAAAACCCCTCTGGTTCTCGACTCAATGGCCCCTTTGATCGCCGATATCATTAGGTTTAGTGTTTTCCTATTCTTCGCTGGATTTCAGTGGTAAAAATCCAATTGGACACCTCTATTGCAATCAATGTCTCCAACTACACAAAACCCTTATGTCCACACTAGAGCCGACGGTGGGCCGTGCCGACCCACGACACGACATGAAAAAAACATGCCACAACAAGGCATGGCATGAAAAAAAAAAACACGACATGACACGACATGAAAATATGTGGGTCGTACTGTAGACCTTTAAAAAAGGCATGTGGGCTAGCATGGCACGATACGAAAAATAAAAAAAAATAAAAAATGTGTTTTTGAAGATATATTTGAAGATTTTAAGAATTTAGAAATTAATGAAAATGAAAATGTATAATAATTCTTAATCCTAATTTCTATGTTTATATTTGTAATTTATAATTATAACTTATAAGTAATACAAAGTGTTGAAATTCAATTAATATTTCAATGTCTCATTATTTAATTATATTTCATAGTGATTGTACATTTTTTTAATTAATATAAATACAAAATGTCACTAAATATAAAATATAAAATATTTTTATAATAATTATTAATAATAAATCAAAATTACCATAATTTATAAATATTAAAATTAAATATTTTTACAAAGCATGTGGGCTGGCCCAAGGCATGGCTCGCTATATATCGTGTCATGCCATGTGCCTTCAAATTTGGCAGGCTAGCATGACATGATAGGGCATGAATTTTTGTGGGCCTTGACATGGCACAGCCCACGGTATGATAAGCCTTGAATTTTTAGGCACAGCATTGCATGGCCCACCGCCACCTCTGTTCCCCACCAATCGTTTAGTCGCCATTCATCGACCGAGAGGTTCATGTTTGTCATGTTTTTGGCGAAATGGTGGGTGACAAACGATGAGCTATTGTGGTTGGGAAGGTTAGGGGTTTTGTAGGGGGGGGATCCAAGGAGTTAAATGGTGGTGGTGGTTGGGGTTCTCGCCCCTTAATGCGGCTGAAAACCAACAAAAAATAGTTGCATGTTAGGGCTGACGATTAGCGAGTGGTGAGAGGTTGTGAAGTGTAAGGTTTTGTAGAGGGGAGGATGGGGGTTCGAATGGTGGTGACAAGAGTGATTTTGGGTGAAATAATTGGCGAAAAATGGCGAAAAACGCTGTGGGTGATGTCTGTTAATGTGTGCCAAAGCATTATTAGAGGCGGCGATCTACTAATGTGCGTCCAAGGGTACCAACTTAGGATTTCGCCAAACCTAGAGTGAGAATATATCGTTTACTCTAATTTTTTATATAGTACAGATTGTTAATTATACACATGGTCAATGTATTACCTTTTTTTTTTTAATAATTTTATATATAGTACAGCTTGGATGTGTTTTATGAGAAAATTATCTAAACCCGGGAGATATACAATAATCCATAAATCCCCTATGGATTCATACAAGAATCAGAATAAATTTGTATAGACATTCTTAAGAGAAAATTGAGGTAAAGAGTAAAGGCTAACTCAATTGATAAAGGCTTCATGTCTTAGACTCTCTTTACATAAATTGATAAACAAAAACATCAAAAGATATTGAGTCCCTTCGTCCTAATTTTACTTACTGTTTATTAAAATTAATTTCCTATCTGCACATAATAATCATAAGTCATTGCTATCAGAGATATCAAACTTCTAATAGTGCATATAATTTCCAATACAGCGAAACCAAAAACATTAGCATCCACATGCATGATTTTATTGTGACAGTTAAATTTGATGCTATTAGAACAATTAATACCAATTCTAACTTGGGTACATTAAATTAATTTACCATTTTATTATAATATTAATGTGATTCATATTTTAAATGTTAACATTTTAATTAATTGTTGAATGAAGTAAAATGGTAATGAAACTGAAGTTTCCAGTAAATGTTACTATATATATTAACTTCGTTTGTTGCTTACGGGCTATAACTTTAGAGAGTAAATAATCACAAAAAAGAAAAAACAATGAGGATCACCAAACTTTCAACGCTTTTTTTTTCTTCTTCTTGTTGATTATGTTATCGGATAATGTATTCTTCTTAATATTATGAATTAAGTTTTGTATTTTTCATTATTTTTAATTATTTACAGATAATGTTTAATTGATTTACTAATAAGATGATTTTATAAAATGAATTATATAGATATTTTATTGAATATAATGTTTTTTAATCTTTTAACTATAGCTCTATGTTTGATTCATTTACATGCTAATGTGATTTTAATAAAAATGAATCATATATATGTGAGCATGGTAGGTCTATTGATAAATTTCCAACCAATTCAACAATACAATATGCCATAAATCCAAGTTAAATTTCGGCCAAATACAAAACAAAAACAATCTCACACTCACTTGCAATTTCGAACCAAGACAAGTAGAAACACTTCAAGCATAAAGGATTGCTTCACCAACTTGAATTGATTCACCACCAAATCCCCTTGCCAAAACTTGGATAAATAATGCACAAACAAAGAACACAAAAGTTCTCTCTCAAATGGATAAACCAATTTTCATATATTTCATAAGTTAAATGTTACAATGAAAATAGTTGTCATTATATAGATAAATACAAGGATAAACAAGTAATTAACAAATACATTAAAATGAATTAAATTAACTAATATTACAAGCCATTCATTCAAACAGCAAGGCTATGCCTATTTAATGCAAAAGAGACATGATTCCCTTATTCTAGGATCTATGTCTTTAATCATCCTATTAGTTGAAATAAGCTTGCTTCATTAGATCAAAACTTAATCAATGACCCTAATTAAGTCTACTAATAAGGGTGTAAGAGTTTGGACCTTGAGAATCATGCAAATAGATCCAATAAGGGTTCATGTAGACCTTCCCCTTTGGAATTAGACTTGGGCCAAATTGGGCCACTTCAACATTTGGGCTTCTTTCTTGGTGGGTTTGAGCTTTCTTTGTTGAGCTTGAGCTTGGAATGGTTTGAGCTGAAATATTTGGACTCTCTCCCTCCTTGGAACTTGCTTGGGCCGAATTTTCTCCGTTGCATTCCACAATCCAAGTGTTTTAGGATTTGGAGTGAAATTCTTCAATTCAACTGGATTAGCAAGTGTTTTAGAACTTATAATTCCTTGTCCACTCATATTTACAAGTGTTTTAGGACTTGTATATATAATTTATATTAGTCATTTGGTAGGTCTATATTAGTTATTTTAGGTCAATAATATGTATTATTACTCTATATATTTTACAACTATAGTTGACATGATAATTGTAATTTATAGGTATAATGTTTGATGAAGCACAGACAAAGGTTGATAATTGTGATTCTCACTTACCTTTTCTCGGGAATTGTACAACGGCTTAATGTCTTAACGCTTGCATGGATAAGTATAAGGTTTCACCCAAAATCTTTATCAATGCTGGATGTTATGATATGATCCTCTATTGATGTTTTAAATGACCCATTAATAAAGAAAATTTAAGGGAGAATGACATTTTTCCACCCAAGGTTTGGTGAAACGACACTTTCCCAACCTTCAAGTTTCAAAATTACACTTTTCCACCATTCGTTAGGTTCTGTTATGTTTTCCGTTAATATTTTACTAAAAAGACGAAAATACCCTTAAATATTTGACTTTATAAATTTTTAATTAGCCAAAAAGTCAAATATTAAAAATTCAAAAAAGAAAAAATAGTTAATCCCACCTAACAAGTTAAGAATAATGCTATGAAATTGTTTAAAATTAGATAATCTTAATATTTATTTATTTATAATTTCATCAATATCCCATCATTATTATTCAATAATCTGCTAAATTTATAATATTTTTCATTTTTACTAATTAACATAGAAAATCAATATTCCTAATTAATTAAATAAAATAAGGAAAAAAAGATATCTTTACACTTAAACTAATAAATGATCGAATAAAGATTTTAACTTAACTAAATTTTAATTTATAATAAACTAAT